GCTGGGAGCTTGGAGCTCTGTCTCAGCCCATCCCCAGGCTGAGAACCCTCATGCACTTTGTCCAAGTTGTTTTCCAAGAATCCCAAGAAGTTAGAAGCCAAAGTGAAGTAACCATCAGGATTTGAGGAGCAAAGTCAAGTTATAAACTTTATTCTTACAAGCATAGCCATTTCTTATTTGTTGACCCTGGTGCCATTTTGGACCATCTGAGAGATCCTCTCAGGCTTGACCGGAGAAGAAAGTTCAGGGCATCTGATGGGGCCACAAGGTCAATCCTGAAAGTGATCCTGCATCTCAGGGAGAAAGTGTGTTCCTCGGCCACTGCAGCAAATCCCCACAAGCAGTGTGACCCTGTGATGACATCGGGCCCACCCAGATGACCCAGGATGAACCCCTGTTGGAGAGAACCTAAACTGCAGAGGGAGGTGGAGAATAGCAAGAGGGCACCAGAGACAGGAGGAAGCGCTTGTTGCTGGCAGCCCTTGGCAAACATCATCTCTGCTCGGGTCTGACAGCCAGGCTGCACCTGATGGGTGGGTGGTCTCAGGGGCCTTGACAAGAGATTTGCAGAAGGAAGATGGGGGAAAAAAGGTGCCCCCTTCTCTTGCACCCACTGAGGTTGGTGGGAGGGGCCATCTGTTAAATTACAACGAAAATTTTGAAGGATCGGGGGTAAGAGGTGGAGATAGGGTGTACGGTTTTCTAACCAGTTCAGCCACATAACAAACTATTGTCAGCTCAGCAGATTAAAATAACACAAATAGACCATCTCATGGGCCCCGTGGTCAGCGGTCTGGGCACAGCTCTGCTGGTCCTCCAGACTCACATTCTGGAACCAGGGTGCTGGCCCGTCTCGTCTGAGGTTGGGGCCCTCTTTCAGATGTGCTGGTTCTTGGTGGGGTTCAGATCCTAGCTGTTGAAGGCCAGAGTCCCCTCCTGTGGCTCCATGGGCAGTTCAGAAGACTCTCTGATGTCTCTTGGACCTGACCCGCCCAGGAGATTCTTCCACTCAGAGTTGACTGACTGGGACCTTGGTCACCCTGCAGAGACCCTGGCAGGCATCCCAGCAAACTCACACTCAGGGGATGGGTTGGTACGAATAAAAGATACCCTGCTCTGCCTGTAAGAAGGGCCATGTGGCTGCCAAGGGGGGCGCTCCTAGCCCCTCTGTGGGGATGGACACGTGCTGGGGGAGTGGAAGGAGGAGTCAAGAGCTGGTGGAGACCGTGGAGATGGTGAGCCACTGGCAGAGATTCTGGCTTCTCTTTTTCTTAATCTAAAGCATCTGTACATGTACATTTCTTAAAATTGTGACAAATGCATATCCCTGTGACCCCCACGCCATCCAGACAAACAACACTTCCATTATCCTTCCCGCTAGTCCCATCCGCAGAGGCTGAGACTGCCTGATTTATCACCACTCGTCAACTTTCCTGCCCTGGAGCTTCACATATGGGACCATGCATCACACACACGTGTGAGTCCTGAGTCTTTCACGCAGCACGACGGGCGTGAGGCTCACCCGGCCACCTGCTCCCTGGTGTCGTGTGTGGAGTCGGTGGTGTGGATGGGTTGCAGTTCTCTGTCCTTTCTCCTGGCAGTTGGACACAGGGCTCAGGATGGGGTGATGGGTTGTGTGGGAGGCGCGAGTGACCCAGGGGCCTGTAGGGGTTCTAACATGGTGGTGCCACTTCCCACAGCCTCTCATGGTGCAGCTATGTGCCTCATGCCTTCCTGACCCCAGGCAGCGTCTCATCCTGGCTCACCTTGCTCCCCGAGTAGAGCGGCTGTCCAGGTTTCACTGGAGGAGGGCCTCTCAGTCTCTGGGAACCGTTAAATGTAGTCACCCATGAGCCGAAAGACAGAGGAGTCACTGAATTTTAAATGCCACCCTGGGAGGGCATCACTTCCTTTAGACAGTGACCCCCAGACAGTTGGACACGGGTGGAGGCGCCCGGGTGTGGTGTGAGGATCTCCATCAGAGAGCTGCACAGCAGCCATCTGACCCATGGGCACCGCCTGCCCTCCCTCCTGAAAAATCACAGATGGAAAAGTGTTCCTTTTTGTGCATTCTTAGCAAAAAAATCCAAAAACACTCACTGCAAAGACCAGACCCTGGCTGTAGCAGTGAGCGTGGAGATAAGTGACTCCCCTTGAAGAAGAAGGACCAACAGCCAGGGCTAAATGCCACCCAAGGCCATGTTTGAACACTCACTAAGATGACGGAAGTGTGTAGTTTGAAAGTGAAAGGGGCTGCGACCTCGTCTGCAAACCAAGGCGGTCGAGGCTGCAGCCCCTTTGCCGACCGGCCGGGATATCCGGGTGGACCCCGTGGAGGCCACAGCCTCGAGGTCGATTTCACAAACATGCGGCCCTCTGACCAACCCCCTCCCCACACTTGGATGGACCGTGGGCTAGGTCAGAGTGAAGGGACCCGGAGGCTGTGTATGCCCTGTCTGTCCATCTCCGTTGGCTGATGGATCCTGGGCAGCTTCCAGGGGGGGCTCGCAGGGGGCCTCCGAGCACCTCCAGACCCCACTTCAAGGACCAGGCTTCCTGGGAGGAGGAGGAAGCTGAAGCCGAGGCTCAGAGGAGTGAGGGCGATGTCACCCCCGGCAGCTGTGAGTCGGGACAAAGGGGGGTGGCCACATCCCAGGGTGTAGCTCCAACTGTGCGCAGAGGGAGGCGAGCAGACATTGGAGCCACGAGCCCAAGCCTGGGAGGAATGGGAGCCCGACCACAGACAGGAGCAGGAACGGGAACCTGTTTTGCCCTGGTTTGCGGGACTTCAAGCGAGGGTCTGGGACATTTGCTTTAAACACATGGAGAGCATACGGGCGTGCTGGGCCCCAGGATCCTGCACCGTAGTTTTAAAGAATGAAGGAAGACCCTAATCTGGGGGTGTTAGGAGGAGGAGCCTGAAGCCTGGTCCCAGCCGGGAGTCCAGTTAGAGGTGATTCAGGGATTAAGGCTCATCCTTTCTTAAAGGCGAAGGTTCCAATTTCTCGCTGTCCTTCAGGAGGAGGTCTCTGGGGTGACCACCCCCAGGTGGGTGGGGAGATCCCGCAGGCCCGTGCCAAGGCCCCCTGACCCAGGTGCAGACCTGGGATCCCCAGGAGGCAGTCAAAGCAGTGGGGGCCGTGGAGATGGAAGGTGGGGGTGCAGGGGTCCTGCAGAGACTCCTGGAGCCCTGGCACCGCTTACCCAACCAGGCTCACCCCCTAAAGCTGCCCTTTCCCGTCAGTCCTCCGGCCTCCCCACTGTGGCCACACGCGGAGACTCCAGCTGCCTGGACCCCAAACAGAGACACACACGCTGTTTGCCCCTTGGGTGGGCGCGGTCGAGTTATGAGCCCAACTGTGGCCGAGTACACTGAGGTGAAGGTGACCAGCTCACGGTCACACCACTGGGGGCGCCGAGGGGGGGTCACCCCTCAAACCGGGGCTCCTCCTGGTGACTGCGAGCGGTGGACACTTAGGCCAGCAGCGGTCAGGCTCCCACGGAGCTGAGGGTGGCATGGGTCAGGGTCGAGCCCCCGGGAGATCCCTGACCCCCCGTTCCACAGGGGTGCTGCTCCCCCAGAGTCGAGGACCCCCACCTCCTGGTGCTCTGCTCTCATGGCCCCATTTTGTGTGGTGTCCGGCGGGGGGGGCGCCAATCCCCCCAGGGGCCCCGCCCAAGGATACTCGCCAGAGTCCCTTCCCCACTCCCGCCATGCCCCTGTGGAGGCCCCTGGGAGACCCCTGCCCAAACTCCTCCCGCTTTCTTCAGCTGCGGCCCACACCACACCTCTCCCCTTTCCTCCCCCCACAGCGGTCTACCTGCCTTCCTCAGATGGGGGGCTTCTCCTGAAGACAGGGGTGGGGGGCGGGCCTCTCTGCGGTCTGCTCTGAATCCAGGCTGGATTGCCCAGCCCCTGCAGACATCCTGGGGTGGTTTGGGGGCTGGAATGCTGGCCGTTTGGGGGACCTATCTCCCAGCGGCCCCCACTGCCTCTGAACCTGCTTCCGATTCTACAGTCAGAGTGTCAGGCCCGTCCTCCCAACTCCTCCCCAAGTACCGGGGACGGCCTTTAAGTTCCCGATTTTCTCCCAGACCTGGAAGAGGGGTGTGGATGGACGGCGCCTGGCCTTGGAGGCACCTCTCAGGCCCCTGGACGCCTCAGCCCCTCTGAGTCCTCCTGTCGCCGCAAAGGGCAAGCACAATGGGGGTTTAACTCCTCGGAACAACGACCACGGAAAGGAGAGTGAAAACCTTTATTTGGAAAAGTCACCCACATGAACACGGTTGAGAAAAAACACAGAAAGGAGTAAAAGTAAAACTAAAGAACCAAGAAAATCTTCAATAAAATGTAGAACCAATCACTTTCTTGAGGAGAAAGGGCTTCAGCTTGTTTCTGATAAAACGCCTCACTGTGCCCCAGGGGGTGCGGCCAGGCCTCCAGTCCTGGGGTGGGGTGGGGCAGGATAGCACCTTCGCTCTGGGGTTTGCGGTCTGGGCTTTGCCCTCAAGGAGGAGTCGTGGTTTCTGCTGGCAGGCGTGAGTGACAAGAGCCTCGTGAGGGGGGTCAGCTCATCAGGGCTCATGCTCCTGTGCAAGTTCCCTGGGAGACCTGACTTTTGGCTGAGCGAGGGTTTCCTGAAAGACTCTAGGGTCGGAGGGAAGTCAAGCTCTGGGTGGTGGTGGCGGGGGTTGGTGGAGAGGGAAGGCAGTGACAGCTGACCCCAGAAAGGAAAGAGAACCAGGTGCTAGCGTTCTGACTGGGATGAGGGGACGTGGACAGGCAGCAGGAGGAGGGCACTTGGGGTGCAGGTTCAGGCAGGTGGCAGGAGGGGGCCTGCAGAACCCCAGCACCGACACTCTGCTCTGGGGGGCGGGCCAAGCATAGAGCATCGAATCATGGCTTTTCAAGCTTTCCCTTGAAAAAATCCTAGCTAGTCGGATCGGTCAGGAACGTTAGGTCCCCTCTTGCCTCTGTCTCGGTGGCAGGGGCCAGGCCACTAGTCCAGAGCCACCTTCCTGGACACCGTCTGGTAGAAGACGCCCCGCAGCAGCGCCTGGTAGCTGGGCACGCGGAACAGGTGGCGCTCGCCGAAGACCACGTCGTACTCCGCCGCCTTGCCCGTGACCAGGACGCGCACGTGGGGCTCGTTCACCTGGCGGCCCACCACCACCACGAAGATCTCCACACCCTCCCGCTGGGCCTCCTGCACCGCCTTCTCGATGGCGGCCGGCGTGGCGCCCTGCGAGTTGCCATCCGAGAAGAGCAGCAGCCTCTTCTTGGCGGTGCCGGATGAGGCCTCGCGGTAGAAGCGGGTCACGTAGCCCAGGGCGTCCATGACGTCGGTGGCGTCATTGAAGAAGTCCATGGAGTCCACGGTGTTGGCCAGCACCGTGTAGTTCTGCAGGAACTGCAGGGCCGCCCGCTCCGGCCGCTGCTGCCCCGTGCCACTGTACTGCACCACGGCCACGCGCACGTCCTGGCCCGGGTCTGTCCGGCTCGCTGTCAGGAAGCGCTCTGCCAGCCGCTTGGCAAAGCGCTTGGTGATGTCAAAGTTGTGGCTGCCCACGCTGGCTGAGCCGTCCAGGAGGATGGTGATGTCGGCCGGGGAGGAGAAGGTGACTGCGGGCGGAGCAGCTGTGAGCGTGCACCGCAGGCCCTGGGAGCCTGCCCCGCCCCCTATGGCCTCCAGACCCTTCTTACCCAGCGCCCCCCACGAGCATCCCATCCACCCCCCAGTACTCACTCGGGCAGGTGTAATCTGGACATTTCTTGTCTGTAAAAGAGAAAACCCCACAGCATGAACCAGTAATCACAGGGACTGCTGTTCCTCCTGTAACCGCCCAGCAAGAGGACCCCTGGCACTTCTGAGGCGGAAGGCATAGCCACCACTGTCTCCACCCAACAGGAGGGATGTCCCTTATTCCAGAGGGGGCCTTTGAGTGACGGAAGGGTCCTCCAGGCACCAGCCCTTCCAAGAACAGGGAGACCAAGCTCAGGGCTGAGGAAGGGTGTTCTACAGCACAGGCCCCATGCCACAAGCCCCAGGTAATGCTGGCTCCACTGCGCCAGTCGGGGCCCTGAGTCTGAGCCTGAAACATTCTCTAGTTACTGCCCAGCAGCTGCAATGTGGACTCAGCTCTGATCCTGGGCCAAGCCCAGATGGACGTAGCAAGTGTGTCCCTTACGTGGGAACCTCTGAGGGGTCTCAGGCTCCAAGGCCCACCACTGCCCACACTTTTGGGTGCACCCAACCTCAGACCCCAGTGCACGTGTGTGCAGTGGGAGACCACGGTGCAGCCCACACTCGGGGAACACGTGTGTGGATGCCAAGCCACAAGGGAGTCAGGCTACAACCTCCAGAGTAAGAATGGGGAGCAGCTCAGGGGGGGAGTGGACACGCCGCTGGCCATGGGCATCTGCTGCCACAGCTAGAGGTCACAGCGAGCGGAGAACGGACAGCTGAGCCACAGGGCCCGCCTGCCACGCTCACCTATGCAGATCTGGGCGGTGATATTCTTCAGGAAGCCGTCGTCCAGCAGCTCGGCATAGTTTTCCTTGACCAGTGAGATGCCCGGCCGTCCCTGGGGTGCCAGGCCTTGGCAGGAGATGACGTTGAGCTGGTCAGAGCCCGCGGCCAAGCCAAAGACGTCCTTGATGCCCACGGAGACCACCTGGGGGGAGGGACAGTGTTGGTGTGGCCCTTGGTGCGGACAGTCCCCTGAGCCCCTGGGCGTGAGGGCGACAGTGTGGCGTGGGGGCCGCCCCACCTGGATGTCAGGGCCGCAGAGCACGCTGAGTGGGGTGGTGTCCCTCTGGGTGTCCGAGCGGCCGTCCGTGATGACCAGGGCGATGCGGTTGTTCTGGGTGGGCGGCAGCAGCCGGCTCCGGGTGTACTGCAGGGCCTCGCCCGTGAAGGTGCCCCCGCCCATCCACTGCAGCTTCTTGATGGCTCTGCAGGGCCACGGCACCGTTAGGGCGGGAACCAGGAGTCAGGGGGGCCGGGGGTCAAGGGCAGGGCCAGGGCCTGGGGTCAGGGCCCAAGTGGGCCTTGGGCTACGATGCGCGTGCAGGCGCCAAGCGGCCACACTCACTCCTTGAGGTCCTGGGCACTCCTGATGTTGGGGTCCCTCAGGTCCACGTGCTCCTGCATCTGGTTGTGGCTGTACTGTACCACGCCTGCATGCGACTGCCCAGGCTCAAACTGCTCGAGAGAGCCGCCGCCATGAGGAGCACCCCCAGGATCCCCGAGGCGCTGGTGCTTCTCCCTGCTCAGGTCACGCCTCCACCCACCCCCCAGTCCCGGGCTGGACTGGCCCCCGGGCCCCCAGGGGGCTCTCGTGCTCTGTGGGCTGGGGGCCTTGGCTTTTGAGAAACAAGGCATCTCTCCTGCAGCCCTCAGCACCCGGCCCTTCCACTCTGGTGTCAGGACAGAGCCCTGCCTCCCTGGGCACCTTCATCCCCGAGCGAGGCCAGGGCGGCCGCCTCACCTTGACCAGCTCGTCCCTGCTCAGCCGGTCAATGACCTTGACGATGAAGTCCTTGGCGATCTCGAAGTTCTGTAGGCCGATGCTCTCGGAGCTGTCCAGCACGAAGAGGATGTCGATGGGCCCGCACTTGCACTCTGCAGGCGGCAGGGGTGCGGTAAGCCCCGGAGCCCCTCCCAGGACCCCTCCAAAGCAGGGCAGCGAGGGGTGGGGGCTCAAGGACTGGGGGTCATGGAGAGAACTCCGGTCCCCCCATCCCTGGCTGCGTGAATGACCAGGGGAGGATGGGCAGGCCAGCACCCAGGGCCAATCCAGGGGAGGGGAGACGAGTCTGCCCCCCAGGTGAAGAGTCAGACTCACCACAGCAAGCTGGGAAGAGAAGAAAGAGGCGATCATATGGCGTCAAGACTAACCCCCCAGCCAGCTAGCCCTGCACGCCTCCAGACTTTATCATGGGAGGGACAGGCATTGAGACTAAAGCCCCCAGCCAGGCCCCCTCCCCCTTCCCCCAGCTTCCTCTCAGGAGGGGCCCACGCCGGCCCTCCTGCCCGCCTCCACCCCCAGGCGGCATATGGCAGGACTCTCTTTCTCATCAGGGTAGTGATCAACGGGGAGGCACTCACAGCACATTTTCATGATGATGTCCAAAATCTCGCATTCCTGGGGGTGAGGGAAGGGACACTCTCAGGAGAAGGAACTGGCTCTCCTGCGGCGGCCCCTGGGGTGGGGGAGAGGCTTCCCAGGCCTCAGGGGTGAGGCCAGCTCTCCAGGTCCCCCTCCCCTGGGACTCCAGCTGGCACTGCAGAGGCGCTGGGCTGGGCTGGGCAGGGTGTCCCCCTTCCCAGGGTGTGCCCCGCTCTACCTGGGAGGCCCCTGCCCGCGGGGCATGGCATCTGATGTGGCCTCTGACATGTGGCCTCGGGTGTCTCACTGTGGCCATCATGTGTCCCCCCTCATGGCTCTGTATGCTCCCTTACCACCAGCACACATCCCCACTGTGACTGTCACGTGCCCCCACGGCCCTTGTGTGTCGGCTGTGACCTCCAGTGTCCCTGCTGGGGCCTCCACATGTCTCCCTGTGGCCATCCTGTGATCCCTGCTGCTGTCAGGCTCCCCACCCCCACAGGAGCCTCGGCCAGAGTGGTCAGTCCCCAAGGATATTCACAACACTTACGTCTGGCCCTGGTGGTCCCACGTGTCCTGGGGGTCCCTGTCCGAGAAAGGATAGGAGAAGGATTGTCAGGGTGGACGCTGGGGCCGTGCTGATTCCTGGGCCGCAGATCTGACAGGAGCCCTTGGCTGACCCCCTTCATGCAGGGTCCCCCAACCCTAGGGGGAGCCGAGGCTTCTGCACATTGAAGGCTGGGGAACCTGCTACTGTTGTCCACCTGGTGACCACTGTCCGACTGCCCTTTCCTGGCGGTCAGTGGGAGTTCACCCCCCCACAGGAGAGTGTCTCAGTGGGTCTAACGGTGCCACCTTGATGGGCAAGGTGCCCGGCCTCACCCAGGCACCACCTGAGGTGCTACCATGCCCGTCACAGCTCGCCTGGAGATCTGCCCTCCCCTTCTGCCCACCCCTTCATGCTTAGCCCCCCAGACCCTGAAACTGCATGTCCCCCCAATCCTCCTGGAGCCCATCCCCAGAGCCTTGCTCCCAGGTTCCCACCACCCCAGACTCCACAGCCTCAGGGAGGGCACCCGCCCGCCTATGGACCCACCTGGGGGCCTTCAGGACCTCGGTAGCCCTTTGCTCCTTTAGGGCCTCGTGGAGCAATGTCATTATTCTGGAAAGACACAGTGCATTGTCGTCAGCTTGCCACGCATGGCCAGACCACATGCTATGAGCCTGGCCATCACCCCCTTGACCCCCAGAACGCTCAGCCGCCCTCGGAGCCACGTTCCCCCATGGTCCGTGGGCTCTGGGTCCTCGAGGCCAAGGTTGACCAGGGATGTCGCCAAACGCAGTGGGCTTTGCACTCACGTCCTCTCCGGGGTCCCCGGCTTCTCCCTCGTCCCCCTTGAGGCCGGGGTAGCCTTTGGTACCCTGCAGGTGATGAAGAGCACATAGTTAGGGGGAGCCGGCCCAGGGTTGGGGTGGGTGCTGCAGCTCTGGGCTTCTAGGGGTCAGGCCTCTGGGGTGGGCCATGGAGTGAACAGATCCCGAGGGGAGTGTCAGCCAGCAGGGGCACCCGGGGCCGAGCAGGGCCTGAGGAGACAGAGACACGGGCTGGGGGCGGGGGGCGGGGCTTGGCGATGAGCTGGACTGAGGCGGGGCTGTGTGTGTCTGCACGTGTTTGCTCAGGTGTGGGAGCAATGTGCGTGCACGAGCGTGTGTGCCCAAGTGCACCTCCCATGGCCAACAGAGCAGATGGCGTGTACTCACGTTTATCCCAGGAGGACCTCTGCTGCCTGGATAGCCCTAGGGAAAGGCGGGACAGTCACATCAGTCACACCAGTCACACCAGAGGGGCAGCCCCAGCCAGAGAGCCATGTGCCCCACTGGCTTAAGGGGGCATCAGGCAGGACGCAGAGTACTCACGGGAAAGCCGGGGAAACCTTCGGTGCCATTCCCGGGGGGGCCGTCTTCACCCTGGGAGAGCAGATGGAGTCCAGCCACTGCAGGACTCGCCCAGGCCAGCTGCCTCCAGTCTCTGAGCTCCAGGCAATCTCCCGCCCAGGATGTACCCTTTGCCCTGCATCACTCACCCTCTCACCCATCAGCCCGGGGTCTCCAGGGGGGCCTGCAGGCCCCGGAGCTCCTTTGGGGCCCTAAGGAGGAGAAAATGAAGTGGATTCTGGGTAGCAAGCCACATAGGCTCGGAGGCACAAGGCCTCCTGGAGGAAAGAGAAGAATTAAATAAGATAACATGTTTTCATGCAGCACATAAATTACTCAAAAAAAGGTTTTTAAACCCGGAATCCTGGAGGCCATGCCACCTTTGGGCCTTAGAGGCTACACCTGCCCCATGTCCACCCAGGGAGTAACCCAAGAAGGAGGTGACCAGAACAGGGACAGGGACCCAGGGGGTCACTGTGGGGGATTCACACCCAAGAGCCCAACCAGACGGGGTGGAGGAGCCAGCAGACACACTGCAGGCGTGGCCAGTGCCAGCATGTCAGCAAAGTTGAACAATCACTAAAGTCTGAGTTTATAATGAGAAAAACAACAAAAAACCTTCTCAAGTCAAATTCATAAGGCATAACATGCAAAGAAAAAAAAAAGGAATTTGGAAAGAAATAAGCCAATCTGTTGATGCTGTTTCTCTCTAGATGGGGTTTTAGATTTCAATTCTCTTTTTAATATTTTTCTGCATTTTCTAAATGTCGTCAGAGTCACACATTCCATGAAGTGAAATGAAACATTTATGTGTGGGCGCCCAGGGGGTTCTCCCAAAGAAGTCTGGGTGGGGGGCGGGGACGGGGGTCAGGCTAGTCCCTCCTGGGACAGTGGCAGGGAGGCTACTCACCTCGGTCCCTGGGGGCCCCTCATCACCTCGGTATCCTTTCGGCCCAATGGGGCCAGCCTCGCCCTGCAGAGAGAGGACACAGCCGATGGGCCCCCTCTGACCCTCCGTGGCCCCCGGCCCCACACCCCACCCTTGCTGGCTGCTCCATCCTGCCGCTCCCTGGGGGCCATCACCTGCCTTCCCGTCCAGGCTCTTGGTCCCCCAAGGACTCCATAGACCCCTGACCTATCTTGGACATGAATGGGACGGGAGTGGCTCTGTGTGGTGATGCCTCCTGGTCCCCAGTAGCGCATCCTGGGAACTCAGGGAACTTCCTGAGACATGGAAACACCAAACTGGGTGGAGCTCCTGGGGCACCCACTGCAGGGGGATGGGGCGCCCACTGCAGGGGGGATGGGGATAGGCCAGGCCTGGTGGCCGGGTGAACAACAGGAGAATGGGACCCTGCCTCAGTTTCTCAGTTGCCTTTTCCTGCGATTTGGGAAAACACATTTCCCAGGACCTTCTGCATGGACCCTGGTGTCAGAGCCGACCTCCTGTTGGGTCTGGAGTCGGGAGGGGCTTATGGGGCCCCTGACAGGGTCGGGAGAGTGGGGCTGAGTTCAAAAACAGAAGACCTTGGGGCTGGGAAGTTGCATGTGCAGGTCACCAAGTGCCACCTGGGTTGGGAGCCACAGGTCCAGGGGGACCATCCCCAGTTGGTCACAGGCTGGGGGGACACAGGGCCCCCCCAAAGGAGGCAGCCATTCCCGGCAGTGTTCAGGGTTCCTGTGGCCTAAGAGGGGCCTCCCTTTGCCCCACACTCTCGGCAGCTTCCTTTTACTGCAGCAACCAATTACTCTGAAAACTAACGCGGTTGGGATGCACCCAGGACCCCAGGCCGGGTCCCGCTTCCAGTGTTCTGTGCCTTTAGAGTTTGAATGACTTCCCGACAGTGCCACAGGAAGAACCCGGGCAGAATGTGTCAGCACCACTGGCCGGGAGCGGTCACAGCTCCTCAGTTACCGTCCAGAAAAGGCCAGGGCCTGGGAGGTGGCCTGGCAACAGGGCCTGCTCAGCCTGAGGCCACAAGAGTCAGTTGTGGGAACAGGATGGACACAGAAAGAGCAGGGGCGTGTGACAGTTGTTCCAGAAAGAGACACGTAGAGATGAGGGGCTTTAAACCTGACGGAACCGCATTTCAATCATTGAGACAGACTGCACTCGTGTGCGTTGTGAAAACAGGCCAAGGAGGGCAAGCCCACCCCTCTTCCACCGCTGGAGTCTACGCTCCTGACGAATCAGAGGTGAGCAAAACCACACTGAAGGGGTGAGAGCATCTGTAAACCTTTGTGCACAAGCAGGACAACCTCAACTACAAGGCACCCCAGACAAGCTCAGGACAGATGAGAACAACGTCTGCACCATGGATGCAGCCCCTCATCCCCCACCACCGTGGGGAACACAGACCCTGGCGGGAAGTGATCAACTGCGTGAGCAGCCCAGCAGAGACCACACTCAGCCCACAAACACACCAACAGTCAATCCAGGAGACGAGTAAACATGCGGAGCCAGAGTCTGATCACAGCTCATGTTGGCAGAAGTGTGTGTGCAGCTTGCTTTACATTCTTGGGGGAGAGTGAGTGGGAGCCAGATGGGCAGGTAGGTAGGATTATTTGGCAAGTGTCAACTCATACACATAACACTGGGGCTAAGACATTTTGCTGCTAAGAATTTACATGCTGGATATTGTCTTGGAAGCTCTTCAGGATGGATGGATGAGCAGGTGGGTGGGCAGATAGATGGATGGATGGATACATACATCCATAGATATATGACAGATGACTAGACAGATGGGTGGATGGGCAGACGGATAGATACACACATGTGTACACATTGTAAAAAAATGCAAAAATGCAAAATGGTTGTCTGAGGAGGCCTTACAAATAGCTGAGAAAAGAAGAGAAGTTCAAGGCAAAGGAGAAAAGGAAAGATATACCCATTTGAATGCAGAGTTCCAAAGAATAGCAAGGAGAGATAAGAAAGACTTCCTTGCTGATCAATGCAAAGAAATAGAAGAAAACAATAAAATGGGAAGGACTAGAGATCTCTTCAAGAAAATTGGAGATACCGAGGGAGCATTTCATGCAAAGATGGGTACAATAAAGGACAGAAATGGTATGGACCTAACAGAAGCAGAAGATATTAAGAAGAGGTGCCAAGAATACACAGAAGAACTGTACAAAAAAGATCTTAATGACCCAGATGACCACAATGGTGTGATCACTCACCTAGAGCCAGATATCCTGGAATACGAAGTCAAGTGGGCCTTAGGAAGCATCACTACAAACAAAGCTAGTGGAGGGGATGGAATTCCAGCTGAGCTATTTCAAATCCTAAAAGATGATGCTGTGAAAGTGCTGCACTCAATATGCCAACAAATTTGGAAAAGTCAGCAGTGGCCACAGGACTGGAAAAAGTCCGTTTTCATTCCAATCCCAAAGAAAGGCAATGTCAAAGAAGGTTTAAGCTACTGCACAATTGTACCATCTCACATGCTAGCAAAGTAATGCTCAAAATTCTCTGAGCCAGGCTTCAACAGTACATGAACCGTGAACTTCCAGATGTTCAAGCTGGGTTGAGAAAAGGCAGAGGAACCAGAGAGCAAATTGCCAACATCCTTTGCATCATACAAAAAGCAAGAGGGTTCCAGAAAAACATATACTTCTGCTTTATTTACTATGCAGTAAAGCCTTTGACTGTGTGGATCGCAATAAACTGTGGAAAATTACTCAAGAGATGGGAATACCAGACCACCTGACTGCCTCCTGAGAAATCTGTATGCAGGTCAAGAAGCAACAGTTAGAACTGGACATGGAGCAACAGACTGGTTCCAAAACATCAAGTCTGTATATTATCACCCTGCTTATTTAAGTTCTATGCAGAGTACATCATGCAAAATGCCAGGCTGGATGAAGCACAAGCTGGAATCGAGATTGCTGGGAGAAATATCAATAACCTCAGATACGCAGATGACATCACCCTATGGCAGAAAGCAAAGAAGAACTAAAGAGCTTCTTGGTGAAAGTGAAAGAGGGAGAGTGAAAAAGTTGGCCTAAAGCTCAACATTCAGAAAACTAAGATCATGGCAAATAGATGGGGAAACAATGGAAACAGTGACAGACTTTATTCTTTTCAGCTCCAAAATCACTGCAGATGGTGACTGCAGCCATGAAATTAAAAGACGCTTGCTCTCTGGAAGAAAAGTTATGACCAACCTAGACAGCATATGCAAAAGTGGACACATTAATTTGCCAACTAAGGTCCATCCAGTCAAAGATATGGTTTTCCAGTAGTCATGTATGGATGTCAGAGCTGGACTATAAAGAAAGCTGAGTTCCGAAGAATTGATGTTTTTGAACTGTGGTGTTGGAGAAGACTCTTGAGAGTCCCTTGGATTGCAAGGACATCAAACCAGTCAATCCTCAGGGAAATTAGTACTGAATATTCATTGGAAGGACCGATGCTGAAGACGAAGCTTCAATACTTTGGCCACCTGACATGAAGAGCTGACTCATTGGAAAAGACCCTGATGCTGGGAAAGATTGAAGGCAGGAGGAGAAGGGGAACAATAGAGGATGAGATGGTTGGATGGCATCACTGACTTGATGGACATGGGTTTGAGCAACCTCGGGTGTTGGTGATGGACAGGGAAGCCTGGTGTGCTGCAGTCCATGGGGTTGCAAACAGTCAGACACGACCGAGCGACTGAACTGAACTGACACATATGTCAGATGGACTGAACTGACACATGTACACAGGTGATGGGCGGATGGACAGATGGAGAGATACACACATGTGTACACAGGTGATGGGTGGACAGACAGATAAAGATGGATAAACACATGGACAGATGGACAGATGAGCTGACTGAACAACAGATGGATGTTGATACTTATGACAGTATTTTTCTGTAAAGCAAAACACTGTGGACAATCTACACACAGTCCGTGAGAATGATGAGGGACAGGAAGCAGACCCTTCCAAGGATGCCAAGGAAGAGGCCCCATTGTAGGCCAAGGGTGCCCAGCCCAGACTGCACCCTGCATCTCAGGGGCCCTCAGGGGCTTGTGGGCCCCAGGTGCAGCCCTCACCCCATGGGAGGGGGCGGGTGGAGTCCGGGGCCTCACAGGACCCAGCTTCCTTGCCACGCATCCTCACCACGCACACTGGTCCATATGCTATGTGTTCACAGACGTATGGTCTGTCTCCCCACTGAACTGCCAGGCCCCCTGCCCCATGAGGGTGGCACCAGGCTGTGTGCTCCCCTTCCTGTGCTTCCCCAGGGCTGGCTGGAGCTCGAGTGGGTTCTGTAGACCTCTTCCAGGACCCACTGGCCACCAAGAGTGCCAGGATGCCATCAGAGCTCCAGCACAGCCTGGCCAAGACCACCCATCAAGGTGGTGTGGCAGCTTCGACAAACCCGACGGCCAGATTCCTGCCTTGTCGCTCTGGCCAAGGCCTGCCCAGCGGTGACAGCCCGGCCTGACCTGTCTTGTCTCTGTGTGCGTTCTGTCACCCCACATGCCCTCCACTTGTGAACCCTGCAGCAGAACCCAGTCAGGGTCTGGAGAAGATGGGCTGAGAGTACCAGTTGGCGGTGAGGGGGGTGGGCGGTCAGGCATGATGCTCCCTGGGGGAGTGATCTCAGCTCTCCCATCCAGCCGCTCATAGCTTCCAGCCTATTCCCAGGCTGTTCCTCTCGCCCAGCCCACTGCTTCTTCAGGCCTCCACTGTCTTCCCCTCCCCTAGCATAGCCTCTAGAAGGTCACGCCCAGGAATTCTGGAATGTTCTTGGATTGACACTCCCAAGTCAACTTCCTGCCAGCATCTCACCCCCGGGCTCCAAACCCTGAGGGAGGTTTACACAGTCCATCTCCAGTGTGGTACCTGCCTGGGCTCAGTCCTCCGAGACCTTGCCCCCCTCCCCAGGCTGGAGGGGTCCCCAACGGCCCAGGCTCCAGCACACCTCTGCTGCTGCCAGCCCCACCCCCCATTCCCCGCCCCTACTGGTCTTGATGGCTCACTGCCCGGCATCCACCCTCACTGACCTCTTTCAGCTCTAGCCGCACCAAGGCATCCTCCCCACTCTGAGGGCAACGTGGGGGGCAGCGTGGGGGTCTTTGCTCAAGGCTGCATCCTGGCAGTGCCCACCCAGGGACAGGGCTCCCCCTGTGAGCACTGGTCCACCTTGCCAATCCGTACTAGCCCCCTGGCCGCCGTCCCCCCAACCCCAGACACCCCAGGTCTCCAGGCCACACCCCCACAAGGAAGCACCTGGGTTGGCAGTGAAGAGACCTCCCCCTGCATCTGTGAGTTGCTCCCATCTGGCAGCACCACGCCCCTCCCCAACCTGCCAGCCAGGCTTCCTACCGGGTCACCGGGGACACCGACGGGGCCTTCTCGTCCCTGGTCACCTTGGGGTCCAGCTTCACCCTGGGGGGAAAAGCCACTGAGGAGGAGACGGGGAGGACGGCCGCCCTGGGGGCCACCGGCGGGGGGCCGGCAGCTCCTGTGTCCGCTGCGGTGGTCTCGCTTCCTTCTCTCCCCTGTCCTCCAACGGGGCATGTGCTTGGCCATCAGGGGACTCGTGTTTTCAGGGGGCCACGATGAGGGGCCGATACCCCTGCTGAGGCCTGGAGGCAGCACATTGTCCCCCCGGCAGGGGTGGGGGGGGGTGCTGGCTACACACCCCTCTGTGAAATGTAAACTGAGGAACAAGCAGGGCGATGCTGACGCCGTGGTGGGCGGAGCAGGGAGGCCTAAGGATTCGCATTCTGCCTCTAGTCCGAATCTGTTGCTGACCTTTCTCTGCAGCTCGGGGCCTGGGGGGCAAGGTCCCACACAGGAAGCAGGCTGGAGAGGGGGATCTTTGGGACATGGGAGTCCAGGGTGCGGGTCACCCACACCTCAGGGCCAGAGGGTCACGGTGACCTGTCCTTAGTTCTGATGGCCTGACCCCAGTCTGGCCGGGTCTTTGCCTCCCCCTCAGGGGATGGGGGTCCCAGCTTGGGGACAGTAACTCACCGGGTCTCCTCTTGGGCCCCGAGCACCTGGGGTCCCTCGAGGTCCTCTTTCCCCAGGGCCTCCCTGTGTGGAGGGAGCAGAGGCGGTGAGGTGTGGGGTGGGAGCCTGGGGCCTGGGCTCGGGGCTGTCCCCCCAGCAGATGCCAGGATGCATGGTCTCTCTGCCTCATGCCCCGCCCCATCCACCTGGGGCCACGTGGGCCACACCAGTCACACCAGCTGCTGGCTGGTGAAAGCTCAGAGCACCCGCTCACCTTCTCTCCGGGGGCTCCGTCTGGTCCTGCATTTCCCTGGAGTAAGAGGAATCGACATGAGTTCATCAGCAGGAAGATCTCTGCTGAGTCTGGGGTGTCGCGGGCAGGAGGGCTCCTACCTCATCGCCGGCTTCTCCCTTCTCTCCCGGGGGACCGGGCTCTCCGGGCTCACCCTGAGAACAACAGTGCAGACCGTCTCCTCTGACCCTGAGGCCCTCCCAGGCGCGGTCACCCCCACTGCATCAGGGAAACATGCATGCTCACCTCATCTCCGGGGGGCCCCGTGCTCCCTGGCCTCCCAGGCTCCCCGTCTGCTCCGGGCTCACCCTGGAAAGACCCAAGGGTCAGCCTTCAGGAGGCCATGCCCGGCTGTCCTGGGGGCCCATGGCCCCACGCTGGCCCTCCTCACCCAGGCTTCAGGCCGCAGTCCCTGATGACCCTAGCCACCCACATCTCTGCACCAAACCCACTTCCCAGGTTCAAACACTGCCCATGGCAGGGGCCAGCCGGGCCCTCGAGAGTGGAAGCCTGGGGTTGCCAGGCTGGGGGCTGGCACCCTCAGACCTCAACCACACTCCAGGACATCCATGTTGCTAGGATGCATTTGGGATAGAATCTATGTTACTCCTCCAACTTTTCCAGCATTTGCTGTTGCTGAAAACCCAGAGAAATATCAGCAACAGATTCGAATTAGAGGCAGAATGTGAATCCTCAGGCCTCACTGCTCTGCCCACCACAGTGTGAGTATTTCACTGAGTTTATTCCTGAGTTTACATTTCACGTGAGCAGGTCGATCCTGGGCTGACCAGAGGGCTGCAGGCTGTGTGGACTGTCCTGAGGTGTCCAGAGAGGCCTCGGATGGACAGGCAGGTGCCAGAAGTGCGATGGGGGCGGGACACGCCCAAGGCTGGGGACCCTGTGCTCTCCCGGGCAGAGGTTGCCACGCCCATCCCTGCCAGCCCGGGAAGAGCAGTGGGGCCTGGTCCCCACACTGAAGCCGAGAACCTGCTTCCAGAAGGAAGTTCTCCGCAATGCCAGGTGGGTCGTTTAAGCTCCAGCCGGGCCCACCCTCTGTGGGCTTGAGTCACTGACCTTCTCTCCTTTCAGTCCGAAGGCACCTGCGTCGCCCTTGGGCCCGGGGGGTCCTTGGACACCCTGGGGAGAGGACACAGAGTCAGACCACAGTCTGAAATGGCAGCCACTGGCAGCCACTTGCCGGCAAGCAACAAGCCAGCAGAACAGGTCGCCAGGCCACATGGCATGCGTGACTTCGTACGGTTGGCAGGAGGGCTGAGGCAATTTTCACTCCTGAGAGCTCACAGCCTTAAGATGTGGGTGAGAGAAAGTGACTTACGTCGAATCCGGGTGAGCCCTTGCAGCCTGGCAGGCCAGGGTACCCTGTCTCCCCCTGCAAGGAGGAAGGTGGGTTTGGGGGTCAAGCCTCTCAGCTCTGGCTCATCCACCATTTCCTAAGAAAGTTCCCCCCAATGGAAGACACTCTGAGCTTGGCTGGGTAGCTTAGGGTCCACTGGGACCTGAGGCTTGGCAAGAAACGTCTCCTGCCTTCCATGCTACCTCAGAGTTGCCCAGGGTGACCACACACGAGACCCCTATCCACCCACCTCCTCGAGGATAGCCAGCCTGGCCCACCATCCCTTCCCCGAAAAATATGCCCCGCCTCCACCCTCCCCGAGCTGAGGGTGACCTTCATGCCATCCACGCCGTCCATGCCACGCTTTCCCTTCTCGCCCTGAGAAGTGCAAAAATCAAAGGTCAGACAAAGGTCAGACTGCACCCACACAGGGCAGTGTCCCCACTGACTGTGCCCCTTGGGCATCTCACCTTGTAGCCTTTGGGTCCCCTGGAGCCCTGTGGAGATAGAAAGGGAGGGTGAGGGGCCTGGTCTCCCCATCGTGGGATGAGGCACTCCCAGCTCATTGCAGCCTCGCCACGCAGGGAACGGGCAGCACTGTCCTTGTCCAGAGTGGGGGGCCACTCCGTGCCCCAGGGACACGTCCCAAAGCCGCAGGTCACTCACCTTCTCCCCTCGGCTCCCTTTTTCTCCCTACACAGCAAACAGAGGAGAGGAAGTGGGTGTGAGGGGTGCCGAAGGCCTGATGCCCTGAGGTCCAGGGCAAGGCCGCGTGGGGGAGGAGAGACCCACCTTCATGCCCTGGTAGCCGACGGGTCCGAGGTCCCCAGGTCTTCCCTGCAGCAGAGGAGGGGCGCGTGTTAGACAGCCCTGGGAGCAGGAAACCCCCACCCAGCCCCCTCACTCCCCACCCTACTCAGGCCTGGTCAGCTGGAGAGACCCGGTAGGCTGACCACTGACCTGTGTCCAAGAAGCGCCCTGCTGTGGAAGCCCAACCCCACTCCTGGGGGCCCTCAGTGGAGCTCCAGGGAGGGACAGACACAGGGCCCCCCACCCCGGGGCGGAGACCACCGTGGCTGAAGCAGAGGCCACCTGCTGGCTGACCGCTGCCCCCTGCCCTCTGTGAGCAGGTGGGCCTGTGGGGGGCGGGGGACTGAGGGGCGTGGGGGTCTGCCCGGGTGGGAGTGCTGCAGGGCCAGCTGTGCCGTGTGTCCCCCAGTCCTCATCACCCACAGGAGCCATGTCCTCCGAGAATCAGGCCACACGACCATGATGCTCAGAAACCAGTCATCCTTCTGGAAGTTTCTGCAGTCTGGTTCCCTGGCCTCTGGCTTCTCAGCGTCCCCACCCCTCAGTCAGGCACCCAGCACTCACAGGTTCTCCAGCTTCTCCTTTCTCTCCCGGGAGCCCCGGCTTCCCTCGTTCTCCCTAGAACAGAGAGCAGATCATGGTCAGAGGACAAATTCCATTTATTTCTAAAACGCTGATAAAAGGAAGCCCCTATTTGCTAACAAAACAAGGTCTATGAGGTTATTCCATCCCAACTCCATTGTCTACATGGTTTCCAGGAACCTTTCCCAAGGTCCCAGGGTCTCTCCCACACACCCCACCCCAAGCCCTGGGGCTGTCCGCGCCAGCCCAGTTAACCCTGACTCTTTTCTCTTTGCCTGTTCTTGCTGCCATGCTGGGCCCCCAGGGGCAGGTGGGAGTGCAAGGTGGACGCAGCCTGGAAGCCCCCTGTGGAAGGTGGCCACATGGCTCCATGGCCACTGGACTTGACACTTTCCAGGAAAAGCCAGAAATCTAGAATTTCATGAGTGAGCTCCCGGGTTGTGAATACTAGCAACGAATTTTGTTTTCCAGTCTGGCCTTGGGCCCATGTTTGCATCCACCCCACGGCAGGCCCACCTCCAGGAGCAGAGCCACAGGGACACTCACTCCAGGAAGGCCATGCCCTCTACCACAGGAAGAAGGATGGGGCAGCAGACGCCACCCCACGGCAGCCATGGCCACCACATCGGCTGCAGGGTCACCACGCCCAGACCCTCTCCCACGGCTGGGACACCTGCTCAGCAGAGCATCTGGGCGGTGGGCGCTGAGGGCAGCTGCCTGGGGTCCAGCTACACCCCTAGACCTGGTGGCAGCCTGCAGGATATTTCTCCCAGGCCTCCCCCTCCATCAAGGCAAGCACCGGCAGGATGTGGCCACTTACCTCGTACCCGGGGTCGCCTCGAGGCCCGGGGGGTCCTCTGGCGGGCTGCAAGACACAGAAAGAACAGTCAGTGGGGGCACCATTGGGGTGGCCCAGGGGTGGGGGTGGGCAAGGGCCACACTCACCTGGCACTCGAAGGAGCAGCACTGTGGGATGGGAAGAGGACAGAGGGACATGTCAGGAAGCGTGGGCACAGCCACGCCGGCCGCCCACGCTCAGACTGCTGGTGGAGGAACGGGCGATGGTGATGCCAGGGTGGGGGACATGGGGGGCGGGGAGGGGCTTACCACTTGCTCCACATTATTTTTCTGAAAAGTGAGAGAGAAAAGTCAAATTAGCTTTGATTCCTGGGCACAGGGTTTCCGGCACCTGGACTGGGCGGGGTGCTGGGCCTGCAGGCGGCACTCACAATCATGTCCGTGATGGTGTCGATGGTCTGGCTGATGACTTCCTCGGCGTCGCGGCTCTGCCCCCAGTCGGCCGCCGTGAAGTTGCGCCGGTACGTGTGGTCTGTGGCGATGATGCTCAGACGTGGCTCCTGCCGTGGATGCAACCAGAGCGAGGGTGAACGTCAGCAACAGTGGGAGCACCAGGCTCTCCCCTCCTCTACTCCCCTGGAGCCCCAGTCCCTCAGGCTATGTCTGTACCCCTCTCCCATTATAGTCCCTGGGTACACCCTCCCTCCACTTCAGGCCCTGGGGGGTGCCCCACCAGGTGGTCTGGCGTGATGGCCACGGAGAAGACTTTGATGCCTAGATGCTTGGCCTCATTCACAGCATCCTCCAGGCCCCCGCAGGGTTCCTTGTAGCCCTCCAGAGGGTGCCCATCAGTCACCACGATCAGGTATTTGTTCTCCTTCAGGTGGGAGCCCCTGCAGGGTGTGGAGGAGGTGAGACCACCTGGCCCAGCCTCCTCAGGCCATCGCTGACCCCGACAGCTCAGGGCCCCATTGGGACCACATCGCTGAGACCCCTAGACTGGAGGTGAGGGGCAGGGGGCTAGAGACCCCAGAGGGAGATGCAGACCCAAGGGTGGCTCTCAGAGCAGTGTTTCCAGTTTCCCTGTGTTGATCCGGCCATAAGGTGGGCTTACAGAAAAGGGTTAGAGTTGGACCATAAAAAAGGTGAGCACTGAAGAGTTGATACTTTTGAACTGTAGTGTTGGAGAAGACTCTTGAGAGTCCCTTGGACTGCAAGATCAAACCAGTCTATCCTAAAGGAAATCAGTCCTGAATATTTATTGGAAGGACTGATGTTGAAGCTGAAGCTCCCATATTTTAGCCACCTCATGTGAAGAGCTGACTCACTGGAAAAGACCCTGATCCTGGGAAAGGTTGAGGGCAGGAATAGAAGGGGTTGACAGAGGATGAGATGGTTGGATGGCACCACTGACTCAATGAACATGAGTTTGAGCAAGCTCCAGGAGATGGTGAAGGACAGAGGAGATTGGTAGTGCTGCAGTCCATGGGGTCGTAGAGTGGGACACTACTGAGCAACTGAACAACAACATAGAAAAGGATATTAAAACAAAATAAAGTTCTGTGGAATCACATTTCAGGTCCCCTCTGCCTTCAGTGGCTGAGGACAGTGGATAGCTGGAGGGAGGGACAGAGTGGTAGAGAGCGAGGGGGTAGGCTGGGCGGTGGTCGCCAGCACGACCCCCTCGGGCTCTAGGTCTGCTCTGGGGACCTCAGGCACCAAAGTCCAGCCGGCCAGCGGGCAGCAACCAGGCAGCGCTGGGCCTCCCCAGGGAGAGCTAAGCGGGGGAGGGCGCCACAGGGCGGCAGGCACTCACCCCACGAGCAGCTCCTCCAGACCCTTCTTGATGGCGCAGTCCGTGTAGGTGCCCTTCCCGAAGTACTTGACGGCGTCCACGCTGCTCTTGAGCGCGTCGCGGCCGCTGGGCATGCGCGTGAGCCCGCGGATGATCTCCACCTCGTCGCTATAGTGCAGCGCGCCCGCATTCCACACCAGGTTGCGGTCACAGCGGTAGTACCTGCGGGCCCGTGATGGTCAGCGGGCCTCCCCACACCCCGGCCCGCTCCCCTCCCCTGCTCAGCGGGGTCACAGGTGGACAGACGGCCGGTCCCCTCTCACGCCGAGAGGGAGGAGCCCGTGGCCCCATAAGCAGCCCTGAGACACTGGTACCCGCGCCGGGGGGCACATGGCGGGGAGATGGGGGTGGCCAGGAGGGCGGGCCCAGCCAGCTAGTGACCACCATGTCCCCTGATCTCCAGGGCCTCAGATGAGGAGCCGTGAGCCGAGACCCTATCCCAGGGCCATGGAGTCGGGGACAGACCCTGCATAGATAGCAGTGGAGCCAGTGACAGGGGACAGGAGACAGGGGGAGGGAGGTGATAGGACCCCTGGATCTGAGTGGCTTCTTCTCTTTGCCCCGGTCACTTTGGCCCAGGATCTCAGGGGGTAGCCAGGCCCCTCCAGCCCATCAGCCGACAGGTGACAGAGGCCTCCGTGGGGCGCCAACAGCCCCAAAGGCAGGAAGAGCCCCCAGTTCACAATTGGAGTGAATGAGGTACAGGGTCAAAGCCCCCCAGAGTGGGATGCTGGGCCACCTGGCTGCCCCGTGCACGCTCCACGAAACTTGTCCACACCTGGGCCCTCCCTGGCCTTCATAAACCCGGGCATTTCAGGAGGTCTGGGGTTTCGGTCCCACAGTGCCCTGCATTGGGCAGACGGTCCTCCTTCCCTGCAGCCTTTCTGGTGGGAGGGAGGCTGGGGGCCTGTCAGTCCCCAGCGGGTCAGTGGGTCAGAGCGGGAGGAGGGGTGGGGCCCGTGAAGGTGAGGGAGATGGGGTGGAGCCTGGTTCTGAGCTTAGCCCGCCCCCTGGTCCGGCCCCGCCTCCTTGCAGGCGTGTCCCGTCCTCGGCCACACCCGCCGCCAGGGACTCCCCCATGTGTGAGTGAGCGAGTGGAGGGATGAATGGATGGATGGAGCATGTTGCCCCCAAAGCCAACACCAGGCTGGGGCCGCTCTGACTAGGACACTGGACACGGGGGACACTGAGATCTCGGGTCTGGGACTTGGGCTGTGACCGTCTACTTGGGCAGTGGTCAGTGTCCAGGTGGCTGGTGAGGGGCGCCCCCTCTAGGTACCAGGCGGATCCACAGGGCCTCAGGCCAGCGTCCCAAGCCTGCTCAGGGTGGGGGAGGGGAGCTGTTCAACACTGCCTTTGGGGAGCCCAAGCTATAGCACTGTCCCCTCTTGGCCCTCCTGGCTGAACAGCCGGCTCCATTTCGACTCAGTCCTTTTCTAGCCCACCTGAATCACACAGCCCCAGGGGAAGGGACTCAAGTGGCCTGGCCAATACCACCCTTCTCAGAATGGGGACACTGAGGCCCAGCTCTGCCTGCTGGCTGTGAGGTAGGGGAGACACCAGCCAGTCTCCCCTGCCCTCCAAGAGCATGGTGGATGGGGGGAGGAGGACAAGGTCCTACCTGTCCTTCAGGTTGTCAATGAAGCGCTTGGTGAAGGACTTAACCTTGTCCACCAGGGCCCCATAGGGCTTCAGCCTCAAGGCCACGCTCTCGGAGGTATCCAGCACAAAGAACAGGTCCACAGGGCAGTCTGGGTCACAGACAGGAGGAGAGGCTCAGCCCCGCGCTCCCCCTTCCCCAGGTGAGCCCCCACCAGCCCCACTGGCCACTTCCCCAGCCAGTCACCCCCTTATACCCAGTCAGGCCCCAACACTCCCGAAAGAGCAAGGAGAAGTTGAATTTAAAACTGCCAGGGAGGGGCTTTAACTTCAGGAGAGCGTGGGTAGGAGCAGGTGACCACGTTTCCTGACTGACCACCAGGAAGGAATCAGAAGGAGCTGATGATGGAGGCAGAGGGGGTGCAGACACTCAAGGGGCACAGGGGCTGAGACCCGGTGAGGCCCGTCCTCCTCCCCAGGGTCCCCCGCCAGCTGGGCCGCATCTAAGCGCTTGAGCATCAAGGCAGGGGCCAGGGTCCCCTGGACCTCACGCCAGATGCGTCTGGTCCAGTCCGGCCTCGCCCAACAGACACGGCAAGTCCACTCACCTTGGAAGGCGATGGCCCTCGATGCCAGGGTGTCGTCCTGCGCAGAGGCCCAGCAGGCCTGCAGCAGCAGGGGGAGCAGAGCGCGGGGCAGCCTCATGTCACCGGCGGTCGTGTCACCATGGAGCAGGGGCCGGGGGCAGGGTGGGCTGTAGTGACCGTGATGCTGACCGGGCAGAGAGAAGTCCTGTCTGCTCTCTTTCTGGAGTTTCAGCCCAGGAGGGAGGGAGGGGTGGAGGGAGGAGAGGGTGGAGGAGGAGCCTGGTGGGGGGCGTCTCTCCCTGCTCTGGGTGAGTCACTCCCTCTCCCCTCCCCCTGGAGCCTCTCGGCTGGAGGATTTACCTCCCTGGTTTGTGAGGACTTTTATTTGCTTACAGTTCTCAGGTCGAGTTTAAGAAGTCTGAAAAAGAGTGCATAACCCAAGACGAATTTCCCTGAAACATGTTTCCGGTGTTTCCAGTCTTCGCATGGGATCCACCGGCCTCTTCACCTCCCCCTCACTAACCACTTTCTACAAAGTGGTGCTGTTTGTTTAAATGTTTCAAATCCATCAATCTATCTGACTTGCGAGCTGTCATATAAATACCTCTTCACGGTTTAGTCACATACATATTGACAAAAGATATTTCGTTTTTACTCTGGGGAAGCACAGAACAATAACTACACATACATTTGTGTGTGCGCCTGTACTCAGGTTGTAGCCCACCAGGCCCTCTGTCCACCGGATTTTCCAGGCAAGGATACTGGAGCAAGTTGCCATTTCCCCTCCAGGGTATCTTCCTGACCCAGGGATCCAACCCGCGTCCCTTGAGTCTCCTGCATTGGCAGACAGGTTCTTTACCAGCTGAGCCACTGGGGAAGCCGAGTTCCTGTGTCGACAGAGACACAGGAAGGACCTGAGGCCCCGCTTCTGAGGACAGGTGTGAAGGCCTCACCCTGGGGCCTGCTGGGGGTGGGCTCGGGGTGAGGCCACACCCACCGCTGCCCCAGAGAACATTCTAGATCTTTCCCGGAGCTGGCACTGATCACACTGGTCTAATATCAGCCGAAATATTTTAAGGTTTATGACATGCAGAAATTGTGTAACCGTTAGAAGTTTGGGAGAACTTTGGAAACCATGCATCTCGGTGACTGCTGCAGCATCCCTTCCAGTGTCTCCCCGTACCTACTTTCTGAAGCTTGTGGACTGACTCGAGTGGTTTCTCCTGCCCCGAGCCTCACCAGCCCTGCTGTGGGCAATTCTCTCTCTTGCCTTGGGGTCTGCTGCAGGCACCCAGCTTCCAAGTCAAACAAAGGGCCTCAGCTCCTCATGCGAGGCTGTTACCTGCCATGGCCTCTTCAAGTCTGTTTTATCTGCAGAGATAACAACTCTTAGGTTCTTGCCAGTTTGGAGAAGAAATCGAACCATATTGTGCAAAACCAGGAACCGTGAGTCTGGGTGGCAGGGGCCCAGCTGAGTGGTTCTGAACACACGAGGTGGACCTGCCTTGGCAGTGTCAACACCCCCACCCCCAGGGCCCAGGCGGGCCCCTGCCCCATCCCTGCAGGGTTTCCGGGAGCCGGGCAGACAGCACAGCTGCCCTGAGGGACTGTCTGCCAGGGAGTAAGGGAGGAAGTTTGGGGCTCAGGGCCCTGTAGTCCCCGACTTGTAGAGAAGAGATACGACAGGCAGCCGGGTGCTGCTGTCGCTTCCTCTCGCTCCCCAAGGGGCCTTGCTGACCCCTCCCCAGGGCGCAGGTGTCATTCATGTGAAGTCTGAGAGCAGCCTTGGGGGAGCGGGCCTTCCCCACAGCCCTGCAGGGACCACAAGGGAGGCTGCCTGGTGGAAGCACCAGAATCCCCCACCTCCAGGGTCACGAAGGGGGTGCTACAGGGACACACTCGGCCCGAGGATGCAAGCCCCACCCCCACCCTCCAACTGCGCCTGGCATCCAGCATCCTTAAGAGGTGAGGGAGAGGTCGAGATCCACTCGACCAGGGTCCGGGGGGAGGTGGGGGGGTGGGCAGGGCAGGTAGCAGGGCTCCTGCAGGTTTGAACAGATCCACCCCACCACCCCGTGACCCTGTCCTGGCGGCCAAGGTCTCCAGCGGGGAGTCAAGGCCCTGGAGAGGGGCTAGGAGACTTGGGGACAGGAGGCTTGGGGACAGGGCTGTCCCCATGAAGGGCAGGGTGGTGATAGGAGCCCCGCACGCATGCTGGGTGGTTGCTTCAGGGAAGCACAGGTTACTCGCCCCAGGGTGCGGGCTACAGTGTCCTGTGCACCTTGGTGCCTGGAGGCCATGTGAGTCACTCCCTGGTCTCAGGCCTCTGAGGGGCCCCGGGCCCCTGATGGGAGCCCCCCAGGAGACCCTCTGAACGGACTCCTGTGCCTCCCCGACCCCTGAGTCACCAGAAGCCTTCAAAAGTAAATGTGAGGCAAGAGGAAGTTGCCACCAGGCCGGTCGTCGGGGTTAAAACCCAACCATAGAGTGGGTGGAAGCTGGGAGGAAACGGCTGGCGTCCGCAGCCAGGAAGGGCCTGTTGCCCAGGCCGTGCTGATGGTGTGGGGTGCGGGGAGGGGGAAGCCTCCCCTTCGTCTCCCTCCCCTCCCCCTCCCTCCCCTCCGTGGAGCAACAGCGCCCCCTCCACCCCGCGGACGTCCTCACCACAGCTCAGGGCAGGGCAGCACCTCTTTCTAGGGAAGTGATTTCGCTCAGTCGTGTCCAACTCTTTGTGACCCCATGGATCACACAGTCCATGGAGTTCTCCAGGCCAGAATACTGGAGTGGGTAGCCTTTCCCTTCTCCAGGGGATCTTCCCAGTCCAGGGATCAAACCCAGGTCTCCCGCATTGCAGGCAGATTCTTTACCAGCTGAGATACCAGGGAAGCCCAAGAATACTGGAGTGGGTAGCCTGTCCTTTCTCCAGGGGGTCTTCCTGACCCAGGAGTTGAACGGGGGTCTCCTGCACTGCAGGCGGTTTCTTTACCAGCTGAGCTTGATGCTCCTCTTTTCTCCTCAGCTGTCCTCCTTCCCCTCTCTTCCCACCCTCTTCAGGCAGCAGGTGTGGAGGCGGCCTCCCGCAGCCCCTCGGCCACAGTCAGGGCCCAGGTCGTGCCAGGACCCCCAGGGCACGTTCCCCCCCTCCCCCAGCTGTGGGACCCTCTCTAGGATCTAGTGGGGGCTACCAGCTTGCCCCAGCCAGGGGCCAGGCCCCACAGACAGAGTCACGCCCAGGAAGGCCAGCGGAGCAACAGCCCAGGGCCTTTGTGAGTGGAGGGTGAGCAGGTTACAGGGGCAAGGAGGGGAGAGCAGAGCATATCACTTCCCACTATGGTCTCCACAGGAGTGCCTCAGTGGTGATGTTCCTGAGACTGGTGATGCTCCCCACGGGTGACACCCCTAGATGGGTGATGCCCCCAGATGGGTGATGCCCCCAGATGGGTGATGTTCCCACATGGGTGATGCCCCCCAGATGGATAATGGCTCCTAGATGGGTGACACCCCCAGATGGGTGATGCTCCCAGATGGGTGATGTTCCCACATGGGTGATGCCCTCAGATGGGTGATGCCCTCAGGTGGGTGATGCCCCCAGATTTGTGATGTTCCCACATGGGTGATGCCCTCAGATGGGTGATGCCCTCAGGTGGGTGATGCCCCCAGATGGGTGATGCCCTCAGGTGGGTGATGCCCCCCAGATGTGTGATGTTCCCACATGGGTGATGCCCCCCAGATGGGTAATGGCTCCTTAGATGGGTGACACCCCCAGATGGGTGATGCTCCCAGATAGGTGATGCCTCCAGATGGGTGATGCCCCAAGATGGGTCATGCTCCCACATGGGTGATGCCCCCAGATGTGTGATGTTCCCACATGGGTGATGCCCCCCAGATGGGTGATGGCTCCTAGATGGGTGACACCCCCAGATGGGTGATGCCCCCAGATGGGTGATGCCCCCAGATGGGTGATGCCCCCAGATGGGTCATGCTCCCACATGGGTGATGCCCCCAGATGGGTGATGTTCCCACATGGGTGAAGCACCATCTGGCCTGGGCAGGTGAGGAATGTGGACATGCTTTGTGGGCCATGGGGACACCTGTCAGGCCTCAAGGTCTTTGCTCCTCGGCTGCTAGAACAAGCTCACACCTACAGAGGATGAGACAGGCAGTGTGCCTTGCCATGGGCAATGAGTCCCCCAGAACCTCCTCTCCACATGCTCATTACACTGTGTCCACACAGTGAATGTGGCCAGCGGGTGACCCCATGTTGTGCCCCATGCCACCAGTCAAGTGCCAGTTCTCTGGGCAGCCTGTTGGTGTAATGTCCAGAACACACAACCGACTCTTTCAGGCCTGGCTCTGTACTCTCGGTGTCCAGGACCTTGGTGGGGGCTAGTCCTCCCTGGCTGGTCTGGGCAGCTTCAGAACCCCCACCTGACTCCCTCTCGTCCACCTTCTACAGTCCATCTGCCTCTGTGCAGGCCCAGGGTCCAGGCTACGTGCAGTAAGGTCTCTGGTCTGAGGCAACCATATGGATGGAATCCAGAGGGCCTTCCTCTGTCCCATAGTGGGGTGAGAGTCCCCACGGCCATGGTCAGCTGTTGGGTCGGATGGCACTGCCCGTGGAAGCAAAGTCCACTATGCTGAATGCTGGTTCTGTGGTCTGAAACGGTGCTTTCTGGGAAGAACTGTACATTTATCATTGCAAACGCTATTTTTCAAGGCAGAAAGGGCTTTTCCCTATGTCTCCTGATTCAAGGCTTCCCCTAACTCGGGGTAGGTAGGCAGAGATTACCCCCATTGTCCAGATGGGGAAACTGAGGAGGGGTGTCTCAGCCATCCGGAGGATGAGAGCCCCACGGGCACAGACCCAGGCCACTGCCCATTGCTGAGCCCTCGCCGCTGAACGTACACCGTCCGGCCCCACCTAGGGCTGCTTGGACCCACACCAGGGTGAGCCGTCCTCCGCAGTCTCCAAAAATTCAGATTCCTCCTGATAGAACTTTCTAGACCAGAAGGGCCCAGAGGATGGATTGATGGGGGCCCCAGGGATAGAGTGATGTGAGGAGTGTCCCAGAAGCCTGGCTTCCTGAGCGGTGATGGCGGGTGTTTCCAGAATGTCCT